TGCAATGTGCGATTGGGAGAGTGGAACGGTGGGCTGATAACTGGGGATTTAAATTCTCAGTGAGCAAGACACAGACTATATGCTTTGCAAAAAGACATAAGGAAGTGGAATTATATCTATATGACCAAAAAATAGAACAGGTCGGAGAAGTACGATTTTTGGGATTGTGGCTAGATGAAAAATTAACATGGAGACAGCATATAGACAGGCTTGTTAACAAATGTAAAAAAGTGAATAATTTATTAAAATGTGTATCGGGAAGGGACTGGGGAGCATCAAGAATGTCACTGTTAGGTATATACCAAGCTGTGATGAGAGCTGCATTAGACTATGGGTGCATAGCATATATGTAAGCTGCAGACACTCACTTGAAGAAATTAGAGGTACAGCAAGCACAAGGGCTGAGAATTTGTTGTGGAGCATATAAAACCTCCCCAGTAGCAGCTATACAGGTTGAAACAGGAGAACAGCCACTGAGAATCAGAAGAATGAAAATTATGTTGGCATACTGGACTAATATAAAGGGGCACAGGGAGGATCACCCCACGAAGAGTTCCCTGAGGGAATGTTGGGAATATGGAAACAGTAGTGCAGCCAGTTTTGGTAGAATTGGGAATGAAGTTGCGGAAAGGGCGGGTTTAAATCCGATTCAGGTCTGTAAAACGGTTCCAGTGTCAAGGATTCTCCCATGGCTTTTTGTAATACCAGAAGTGGATTTTGATATCAAAAAACTTATTAAGGCAGTGAAGAGACAAAGTACAGCTGGGTTTGTAGCCTCGGAATATTTGAAAGAGAGATATGGCAATACTCAAATAGTATTCACAGATGGCTCAAAAGACCAAGACACTGGCCGAACTGGGGCCGCAGCGTATATCCCTACGGAAAATATTAAAATAAAGCAGAGATGTTCAGATTATGTATCAGTGTATGCAGTAGAGATAGCAGCAATAATAATGGCATTACAATGGATAAAAGCTCAAGGGAAGGACAAATCAGTCATTGCATCAGACAGCTGGGCGGCTCTTTCAAGCCTACAAACCATGAAATCTTGTAGACTTGATCTTATGTATGAGGTACACAGTAACCTGTATGAAATCTGGGAAAGAGGGCTGGGTGTGAGTTTTGTGTGGGTTCCTGCCCACGTGGGAATAGAGGGAAATGAAGAGGCGGATAGGTTAGCAAAGCAGTCGTTAAGACAACAGGACATAGACCTACAAGTCAGGTTAAGTAAAGAAGGATTGGAAGGAACCGGAAGGAAGAAACAACATTAACACGGTTAAGGATCGGTCATACAGGGTTAAATGGAACATTGAATAAAATAGGTAAACACACAGATGGAAAATGTCAACAGTGTGGGGTAACGGAATCAGTGCAGCATGTGCTGATGGAATGTGTAAGATACGAAGAAGAGAGGAAGACCTTGAAAGCAGAAATGGAGAAAGAAAAAGAATCATTTAAATTAGAAAACTTGTTAAAAATGGACAATAGGGCAAGGCTGGGGCGACTCATGGATTTTGTGCGGGATACGAGGTTAATACAAAGGATTTAGGAGTCTCCGTCACTAAAAGGTTTTAGTCTGTAACTGCCTAATCTCCTGTTCTACCGTAGATTCAGTAGGTGGCGGTAATGCTCCAGACACTAAGGAGTAAACTGCCATAAAACCAAACAGAAGAAGAAGAAGAAGTCTCAGCGCCTGAGTATTGTCTACCTTTCCTAGCAGTAAAGACGCGTCTCCTGGCCAACCTCGTTGTATTTTTGCTCCTTGTGATTCTTTTAATGTTCACTAACTTCCTTCTGCTCTGGTTTTTCCTGCAGTGTCTCCAGCCCACACGACAGCCAGCCAACCAGCCCTCCGGACTTCCTCTGTTTGCATTTTGATCCTGAGTTTGGACATTAAAATTACACCTTTGGTTGATCTCTGTCTCAGTGTCTGCTTCTGGGTCTTCACAACTAACCAGCCACACTACAAAGAAGAGCCCATGGATTTGACCTCAACACACACACAGAGAACTACCAGACATTCATCGATGCAGGGCTCCCCACAAAAAGTAGCTGAACGAAATGGATGTCTCTCTCCGCGACCACTGAGTTGTGCAGTCGTTTTGGTCTTTCTCTGTTTCGTGAAATGTAAATTTGCTCTGCTCTTACGCTGAGTTGCATTCAATCATTCGTTAGCTCACCTTCCTGACTGAACGATTCGCTTCAATTGGACTTACCTGTTTTTGATTGTCTATCCGTAAGAGCATAACAAATACATGACACAGAAACGAGTCTTTGAATCGACACACACACACACACGCCCTCCACCCGTGATGCACAAAAAGCGCGGCAGAGTGTCGAGGACGCCAGGATTGCTAAAGACTGCGTCTACCGCCGTCTGAGTTTCTAAAAATACAGCCACTGTTGAGCGGTGAGGACAGCACCCGCGCTCACGAGACCAAAAAAAAAAAACAGGTCAACTCCCCCTCAGCTCTTTCTGCTTGTCAAAATGGTTATCTAAAAACTCACCTCTGCTACGCTGTCGTGAAAACGTTTGATTGAAAACCTTTGCTGTGTTCCTCTGTTGCACGGACTCTTTTCGCAGTACGGGGGCACTGGATCCGCAGGAGCGAAGAAAGAGGAAAAAAACAAATAAAGGTGAAGTCTTGACACACATCTACAAAAAGGATCGTAGAGGAAAGAGTAGAGTATGTAGTCTATCTATCTATCTATCTATCTATCTATCTATCTATAACGATATATAGATAGATATATAGTTATACACTTTTTCTTTTTTGTTTTCCTTCTTACCTTCGGGGCTTTTAAACCAAGGTGGGAATCACTGTGATAGGTCCGTATCCCCTAAGCCACATTTCTCTGTCTCTCTGTTTTGCAGGCTGAGCGAAATGGATGTCTCTCTCCGCGACCACTGAATTGTGCAGTCATTTTGGTCTTTCTCTGTTTCGTGAATTGTAAATTTGCTCTGTTCTTACACTTGCATTCAATCATTCGTTAGCTCACCTTCCTGACCGAACGATTCGCTTCAATTGGACTCAGCTGTTTTTGATTGTTTATTCGTAAGAGCATAAAAAATACATGACACAGAAACGAGTCTTTGAATCGACACACACACACATGCCCTCCACCCGTGATGCACAAAAAGCACGGCGTAGTGTCGAGGACGCCGGGATTGCCGCCGTCTGAGTTTCTAAAAACTCAGAGAACGCAGATTAACTCAATGTAGTCCATTTGAATGAATCCAGTTTTTGAAGATCTTTATTGATTTACTGAATAGTTGACATTCATTGTCCTCAGCATCAGGCTAGGACTGAAGAAATCTCTCCAAATAGATGGATGAAGAAGAACAAACCTAAACCTTCATGATACAAGTCAGGAAAGCTGTTTGATCAATCAGGAGATGAATTAATTGATCCATTATTGAATATCATCATCATCATCATGTCTATAATCTAAGGCCATGTTGGAGTTAATCTGAGCATTTCCATAGAGAGTGAGTTTGCATGAGCAGCAGCATGCTCCAGTGCTCTGGGAGACTTTATAGTCCTGAGAGTTGAAGACTGGATGACTGACAGCTGTCCTTCATCACAACAGAAGACACAGAAATCCTCCTTCTCCTGATCAGAAACATGACTGTGATCTGCGTCCTCATCTGGACTTTCCTCTGCTGCTGCTTCACAGGTAAAGTCCAGAGAATCCAACTCCTCTCCTCTATGAACATCCGTCCCTCTGAAATGAAGCCCACAAAACCATGACGCTGCTTTCTGTGTTTGTCTCTCTAGGTTGGGGTACCCTTTACATTGAACAAACACGTAGTTACACTTTTGTATAGCACACTAGGTTGTATGGGGTGCCGTTTGTAAAGCAGCCCATTATAAAAACAACAGCAAGAATTGGTCACATTTAGCAAAACAACAGCAAGATTTAGTCACATTTAGCTTCAAACAGCATTTAAAAACGTGATGTGAATTTTCGGCAGTCATTTTTTTGCACATTTACAACAACATTTAAATACTAAAACTAAATGTTAAATGTTAAATCTAAATGCTAAATATAAATCTTAAATATATATGTTAAATCTAAATGTTAAATCTAAATCTAAATGTTAAATCTAAATCTAAATGTTAAATCTAAATGTTAAATCTAAATGTTAAATCTAAATGTGTTGGGCGAAACTAAATATTTAGCTAATATGCAAATTCGCGGTCGGAAACCGGAAGTGCCAAAATAAAAGCTCCAGAAGGTCATATTGATGATTCCTGTGTCGAAGAAAACGAATTAAAACCAATTTAAGGGGGGAACAAATACTTGGGGTGACGTTTCGTGTTAATAACTACCTACAATAGCGACAGCAACAACAAAAACTTTATTAGAAAGACTCGAGTTTTCAGTGTCGCTTCTCCGTATGGCGCGGACACTGTACGAACACACGCACACACACATGCAGGCGCACACGTCATACTACTCCATGGAACCTTATCTATTCATGAAGTGCTTTGGCCATACGGGTAACGCGGACGACTGGGTCGCAGGAAGCCGGGGTTCGAAACCATGGACTGTATATAAGTATATATCTATAGACTATATATATGTATCTTATATACAGTCTATGGTTCGTACAGTGTCCGCGCTATACGGAGAAGCGACACTGAAAACTCGAGTCTTTCTAATAAAGTTTTTGTTGTTGCTGTCGCTATTATAGGTAGTTATTAACACGAAACGTCACCCCAAGTATTTGTTCCCCCCTTAAATCAAGACTACCCAGATGCAGCGCCAAGATGGCGGACCCAAAGATAGAAAACCACATTTACAAAACGCAATAAGTTTCCGCATTACCTCCGATTGGCGGACCCAAAACATGAACTTTGAACTTCTGCTTTGCGATGCCAGAACAGTAGGTGGCGGTATGTACCTACACTTTCTGACGGCAAAATTTACAGAAGAAGAAGAACTCTCAGGAAGTTTGAAAAGAAGCAAGCCGTCCGCATTCATTCAATCTCACATCCGACCCACTCAAACTAACCCTAACCCTGCATTCCATTGTTTCCATCATGGGAAATCTAAGTGACGCTCTCAAATTAACAGGAACATTGCGCAGAAGATATGTCCTGGGCAATGGACTGAGAAAACGGGCAGAGATTTGGAGGTATTTGTGCATGCTCTATATTACAGTTGAAAAATGTATAACAGCTTTCCAATGCTGTTACTTGTGGCGAACACCTTTTTGCTTGAGTTGATGCGTGCCCGCAGGTGGAATAATGTCACATGTCACACACATTTTCTGTTGTTTTGATTTATTTACTCATTCATCATTTTATGTGCGCACCTCTCCTAATCAACCCACCCATTAAATAGACAGGCACAATAGCACCATCTGCTGGCACAAAAAATACATAACAATAAACTGCAAAACCCCAATCTGGCTCCTACAAAGTGTATGTGACAAGATGATTAACGTTTGCTTTTGTTAAATCAGGGCTTCCCCAGCCAGGACTTTGGCTCAGACTGTGGCATATTCATGTTGATGGTAGGTCATAACGAGCTGTAATGCACAAATATTGTATCTAGAATAACTTTCCAACATGGACTTTTTTAAAGTTATCTCACATGTTGTCTCATAATTTTTTTTTAAAGTCTGCCATGTACATCGTTATGGAGTCACAGTTTGACTACTCAGTTGTAAGTACTTTTCAACACGCAGTGTCATCCTCAAGATTGTATTTTGTATTGTGCACTAAAATGAAATACAAACAACAATTTCAGCATGACATGCCTGTTTGGCGGCGATGGTGGTGCCTGTTGCTCCTGGAGAACAATTCTTTGAACAGGTAGACAGTTTAAGTAAACTAGATGTCCTAATTAACTGGAAGACAATCAATATATTGTACTTAAAGACATATTGTCATTACAGTTGTGGGAAAATCTTCACCCACTGGACCAAAGAATGTCAAGAGCTCATTGCTGGAAAGCATACTCCGGTCTTCAGTCTAAAGAGGAAGGCAGAGCAGCAGGACATAGAGGTTAGAAAATTGCCTTGTAAAAACAGTATTATCTCAGTGGGAGTCCTTCAAAATGCACACAGTTGTATGGATCAACATTGTCTCGATGTATTTGGTAATTGATGTTACTTTTCAAATTGCCTTGTCAAGGAAACCATGACGCAGACGGTATCGGATGTCCAAAGAATGTGCATGGCAGATTCAATGCAATTCTGTGTCTACCAGACATCGAACAACACAGGAGAGAGGTGTGTTGCAGACTCAATTTAATAAATGCAATTATCGGGGCCTATTCAGTGATTTTCCATGAAGTGACCACTTTTACATATAGTTTAAATGCACGAATCATGCAGGAAAATTATTTATACATTCAAATGTGCTGCAGAGGTATAATCAATTGGACAGCGTGTTTGTTTAATATTATGTTTGTCTCTCATTTGATCAGATTGCTTTACCCTGAGGTAAACGTCATAAAATGGGTCCAGTGCAAGACGTGCAGGGGCTGGCTGCATCAGGATTGTGCTGGGATTGAAATGGAGCCGTTTGACTGCGGGTGCGAGGACTCCATTGAGCATCCTCGGTATAACATAATTTATCAAGGAAACATAGTATCAGTCAAAATACGAGGCTCAAAGGATGAAAAAATGAGGGCTTGCTCTTTTCTTATTTCTCTGCAGGATCAAGGATGCTGTTGACAGTTGAGGAATTCATGCTGTCTTTTCTAAGACACAGATCAAGGTTGCTTTTGAATGCACTATCAGTTGTTAAAGCCACCGTTTCTTTTTCAGATGATTACATTTTTGTCTCTTGCTCTTTGGTTTCAGACATTACACGATGATCTACTGTCTGGAAAGATCCGCTCCAACAGAATGTTCCTTTGGAGGAATCCCGCCACCTCACTCCGACTAAAGCAGCATCTTAAGATAAGGACACTAAGTTGGAGTGAGCAGCGCGTAAGTAAAAATGCCATCCATCATGAGTATTTTTACTCTCAGGGGTGTTACATTTGAAAGGTGTTTACTTTCTGTGTTTTTCTTCAATAGATGTTCGAGCTCCTGCGGTTCATTGAGGTGGCAACAAACATTTCTAAAAAAATAAAGAGAGGCGAGATTTATCTGCTTGATTTCGTTTTTGACGTCATGCTCCCAGAGGTGAGTAGATCAAACTATATAGCTTGCTTTGAAAATTGATGATATTGTTAAGAGGTTGTTCTTATTCATTTGGAAAGCTCAAGAACAACAATTAACCCATACTGCATAACTTCAATTGTTCACATTATTTGACTGTTTTTCAGCTTTTGATCAAAGCACTGAAGGAGCATGGCATCAACCGGTTCAGAGCAGAGCTGATGATGGCCTGTGGCAACGTGTTTTAAGCCCCCCACCACACCGACGGCAGTGCTGAATTTTGTATATATATATATATTTTTTTTTACTGTTCACAATTTTGTTTGGAAAAAATTAAAGAAATCTTCAAAGCAGTTGTATGACAATTTCCCATTTCTTCACACAGTCTGTAATGATATCGCTATTCAATTGTTTTTGCTATATGGCTCTTCCGAACCTTAAAGAGATCATGTGACTTGTCTCTACAACTATTGTATACTTGGATTTTGCACAGTCAAGCAATCCTGAAGAGGTTCACCAGGAAGAACACCATTTCATAAATGATGTCCCTGGTTACACAATGTTACTAAAGGATGGGGGGGAGTAAATTTGTGCAGCAACATAAGCACTCTCATAAAACATAATTATGAACAACAGAAAATATGTGAGGGTCAGGGCAACATTGTTGACATTAAACGAGGTCCTAATAGGAGTGGAGAAACAAGGTCACAGAGAAGTTAAGAAACATTGATGTGCTGTGTAATAAAGCTATTGGAGAGAAAAGTTAGAAAACACTGTTATATGATGTGTAACGAGAGGTTAAAACAGTCCATACTTGTAGCAAACTCTTACAAAAGAATTTGAGTAAGATGATAACTTCTACATACATTTACCTATTCTGACAAATTATCAGAATATGAGGACATCAGGCTATATATACATATTACTGTAAACTTCAGAATTAAATCAGAACAAAACAGTAGTCATAGTTAATACATAAACGTTTTATTTTGATTTTTAGCTCAATAATAAATTTAATTCGATTCTTATGGAATGAACGGAGCAAAAAAAAAAGGATCCGGCGACTAAATCCGACTACCTGAAGTATTTCGGCGCCGGAAGTCCGCCAACGAGAAAGCCTTTCCACCGGAAGTAATTGTTTTGGGTCCGCCAATCGGAGGTAATGCAGAAATTTATTGCGTTTTGTAAATGTGGTTTTCTATCTTTGGGTCCGCCATCTTGCGCTGCATCTGGTCACCTCTCCCTTAAATTGGTTTTAATTCGTTTTCTTCGACACAAGAATCATCAATATGACCTTCTGGAGCTTTTATTTTGGCACTTCCGGTTTCCGACCGTGAATTTGCATATTAGCTAAATATTTAGTTTCGCCCAACACATTTAGATTTAACATTTAGATTTAACATTTGGATTTAACATTTAGATTTAGATTTAACATTTAGATTTAGATTTAACATTTAGATTTAACATATATATTTAAGATTTATATTTAGCATTTAGATTTAACATTTAGTTTTAGTATTTAAATGTTGTTGTAAATGTGCAAAAAAATGACTGCCGAAAATTCACATCACTTTTTTAAATGCTGTTTGAAGCTAAATGTGACTAAATCTTGCTGTTGTTTTGCTAAATATGACCAAATCTTGCTGTTGTTTTTATAATGGGCTGCTTTACAAACGGCACCCCATAAGGTTGTGGGTTGGTACCATCTGTTTATGTTTTGAGAGACTTTTCTTAGCCAGTCAGTTTGGCCTTTTTGTTGCTGTTTCTTTGTCTCAGACAGTGTTAAGTGAGGCCCTGTTCTGTTGTCTTAAGTTCATTTATTTGGTACTCTTCCCCACACAGTCTGCTTCCCCTCCCACCTTTGATTCCCTTTTGTTCATGACCTGATTTTTGTTAAATAAATAATTCACACACTGGAATTACTCCTTGATTGTTTGTGTTACTTTCTTGTGCTCAGCTAGAGGAGGGTAACAAATCCGAATTAAATATGAAATAAAGAACTAAAAGAGTTTTTGGTCGTTATGAACAAATAACAGAGTATCATCAGCATACAGAGTTATCAGGAGGATTTAAGGAGTTCACTTGGACCATTCTTGATGAGGACTGCTGTGTGTTAGTGTGTGTTAGTGTGTGTATGAATCCTCACTGAAGTGTATCAGGGTCTGCAGGAAGTTCAGCTGCAGCTGTGTGTTCAGTCTGACTGAGGGAGGTTTTTGTACGACGCTTTTTCACTGTGTGAACACAAGCTGACTGTTAATCCAGTGTTCACTCTGACAGTAGTAAACTGCTGCATCTTCAGTCTGGACTCCACTGATGGTCAGAGTGAAACTAGATCCAGATCCACTGCCTGAAAAACGACTTGATATCCCTGATACTCGACTGCTAGTATAATAAATGAGCAGTTTAGGAGTTTCTCCGTCCTTCTGTTGGTACCAGGCTAAGTAGTTATTGTTATGCGCATTCTGACTGACAGTACAGCTAATTTGTGCGGTTCCCCCGGGAGCAGAGCTCACAGCTGCAGGCTGAGTCACTGTGATCTTTCCTCTGGACTCTGAGGATACAGAGACAAACACAGAAAGCAGCGTCATGGTTTTGTGGGCTTCATTTCAGAGGGACGGATGTTCATAGAGGAGATGAGTTGGATTCTCTGGACTTTACCTGTGAAGCAGCAGCAGAGGAGAGTCCAGATGAGGACGCAGATCACAGTCATGTTTCTGATCAGGAGGAGGAGGAGGAGGATATTTGTGTGTTCTGTTGTGATGAAGGACAGCTGTCAGTCATCCAGTCTTCAACTCTCAGGACTATAAAGTCTCCCAGAGCACTGGAGCATGCTGCTGCTCATGCAAACTCACTCTCTATGGAAATGACTCCTATCATCAGATCAATAAACTTCTTTTGTCATTAAGCTCATTGATTAAAAAGAGTTTCATTGCCACAACACCTGCTTACTTACAATGGGACCTCAGTTTACAACATCAGTTCATATGTCTCAGTTGAAAACATTCATTCTGTGGGTTAATTGGACTGAATTATTATCCAAGTTAACTGGACAAACTTTAGAATAAATCCAGGAACTTTTTTGAATTTGATAATAACTTTTTTTAAAGTTTTTCAGCCTGAAGTAATGCTTTAAAAAAGCTCCAAACTTTTTCACAACAATATGTCGGCTAATTGTTTTTCTTTGAAAGTTTTAATTTATTTTGACAAAGTGTATAAAATTAAAAACCTTAAATCTTTATCATTTTTTCATGGTTTATCAGAGGTTCTAAGGACTTCTTTTATAGCACTGAAACATGTCTGTAGTCATGGTTAAGCAGCGATGCCTGTCTGTTGCCATGGTTACTGGAGTAAGAGGGAAGTGAAAGAGCTGAGATCAGTTTCATCTTCTCAACTCTAGCCAGCTGTAGTGACCTCTTGTGCTGAAGTTTATTGAAGCTCCTTCTTCATCTCTCTCTCTGTAGTGGATCAGGTGACCCTCAGACTGATGGAGATGGTCCACTCCAGAAACTAAGGCCTTTATAGACAGGAGCTCTCTCTCCTCTAAAAACACCTTTGGACTAAACTTGTGTCCCCTTTCAGCTCTCCTTCTTTCCTGAACATAACATGACACAACACCTGCAGCAGAGTTGATGAGTGCATTTGTCCATTCATAGGAGTCATTTCCATAGAGAGTGAGTTTGCATGAGCAGCAGCATGCTCCAGTGCTCTGGGAGACTTTATAGTCCTGAGAGTTGAAGACTGGATGACTGACAGCTGTCCTTCATCACAGCAGAAGACACAGAACTCCTCCTCCTCCTGATCAGAAACATGACTGTGATCTGCGTCCTCATCTGGACTCTCCTCTGCTGCTGCTTCACAGGTAAAGTCCAGAGAATCCAACTCCTCTCCTCTGTGAACATCCGTCCCTCTGAAATGAAGCCCACAAAACCATGACGCTGCTGTCTGTGTTTGTCTCTGTATCCTCAGAGTCCAGAGGAAAGATCACAGTGACTCAGCCTGCAGCAGTGACCTCTGCTCCGGGAGGAACCGTCAGCATCCCATGTACGGCTAGTCAAAATGTGGAGAGCAATAACTACTTATCCTGGTACCAACAGAAGGATGGAGAAACTCCTAAACTGCTCATTCAATATGCTAATCAGCTGTTATCAGGGATATCAAGTCGTTTTTCAGGCAGTGGATCTGGATCTAGTTTCACTCTGACCATCAGTGGAGTCCAGACTGAAGATGCAGCAGTTTACTACTGTCAGAGTCGACACTACATCAACAGTCTGCATGTGTTCACACAGTGAAAAAGCGTTGTACAAAAACCTCCCTCAGTCAGACTGAAGTGAAACTGAGCTGACAGCTGACAGTGTTTTATACACCTCAATATCCTGATACCCTGATATAATAACTGATCAAAGCTCCACTTTTTGAGAGAATAAGAATTTGTTTTTTTTTCAGGCCTCATGGGAACATAATATTAATATTAATAAACAACATCAAGTTCTTCTCAGTTTGAACTTGGACCAAAAATCTAGTCCAGAATATATTATTATATTAGTTTACTATATATTTATATGTATATATATATATATATATATATATATATATATATATATATATATATATACATACATACGTATTCTATTCTATTCTATTTCTAATCCGCTTAGAATTACTTTGATAACATTCCTCATCACTGTTTAGCCCCACAAATAAGAACTGTATGGGTTTTAAATTGTACATTTCCGTGTACCACTCTATTATAAGCTGTGCGCGTTTCTGCCGGTTTCATACAATCGGTGGACACGGAAACAACATCAAGGATTGTAAAATGAGAAACGAACTAGAGAAAACCACCGAAGATGAATACGTGTTGACAAAAAGAAATGCAACGTCTCTTACCATTGAAGATCAATACTTGTTGGAAAAAAGAACAGCAACGTCACTTATCTGTAATTATTTCGGTTACAGAAAGGATGACGTCACCAAACACCTGTTCTGTGTCGGCAGTGCCTTTCATCAGTTGCCACAATAACGTCCCAGCACAATAAAAGCTGAAAAGATCTCTGAGACAGACAGAAGCCATTCTACTAACATTCACAAAAAGAGGTAAGATCAGTGCAGGGTAACTGTCCTCAAGATTTCAGCATAAAGTAATATTCAGGTCATCTGGTGAAAATTCCTCTATTTTTTAAATTTTAGTTTTCTAAAATCGTGCAGCCTTAATTTGGAAAACATAATGCTGATGACTGTCCCCGAATCAAGGCTGAGGACCAGGGGGGCCCATGCTTTTTCTTTCAGGGCCCCCACTCTCTAGAACAAACTACCTGAGGAGATTAGACTGCAGAGTTCATTATCTTCATTTAAAACTCTTTAATTATTATTATTGTATTTTTTCTGTCTTCTCTCACTGTCTCTCTTCTGCATTTCTATGATTATTCTGATGATGAAAACAGTTTTTCATGTTTCCTGACTGTCGTTTGAGCATTTTGAAGGTTTAGTTACAGGTTAACATCTACAGTAAACAGAGGGAAGAACACAGACCTGCTCTCTGCAGCTTTATTTCAGGGCCTAACATCACTTTCAGCTGTTTCTTCTGCCTCCGGAGCTCCTCTTCAAAGCAGGACGATGTTGATCCTTCATGGAGGTGTCTGTGAGCTGCAGTCAACAGCCGTCTCCTGAATAACTCTCTAAGATCTGTAAACCCGGACATTTCCTCAAACTAAGACTCTTCGTCTCTTTTTAATTTCAGTGACAACCAGTCCAAGAGTCAACGAAGGAGAAGAAATCCCAAACTCTCTGTGATCACTCTGGTCCATCACTGAGAAGAGCCATTCCTGTCAACACATTTGGCCTTCAGAATAAAAGCACCACTTTAATAACTGTGCCTCATTATTTGAAATGGAGGTTCAAATGAAATGAAGATTTTAGAAATATGAGCACAGTCAGTGTTTCACAACTTCCCTGATTGATGAACGATCCAGAAAAGTGAGGTTGGTGCTGCTGGAATAAAGTTTGTGTCAGGTGAGTTCATCTGTGTCCTGTAAAAGAGACTGAAGCACATCTGCTGGTCTTTCTCAGAGACGATGAAACTGGTGTCAAACATTTCCTCTCATAGCTGAGTTACCGTGGAAACAGACCAGCATCACTGCTCAGGTATGACTGCAGACAAGTTTCAGTTCTACAAATTTCCATAGAGAGTGAGTTTGCATGAGCAGCAGCATGCTCCAGTGCTCTGGGAGACTTTATAGTCCTGAGAGTTGAAGACTGGATGACTGACAGCTGTCCTTCATCACAGCAGAAGACACAGAAATCCTCCTCCTCCTCCTGATCAGAAACATGACTGTGATCTGCGTCCTCATCTGGACTCTCCTCTGCTGCTGCTTCACAGGTAAAGTCCAGAGAATCCAACTCCTCTCCTCTATGAACATCCGTCCCTCTGAAATGAAGCCCACAAAACCATGACGCTGCTTTCTGTGTTTGTCTCTGTATCCTCAGAGTCCAGAGGACAGGTCACAGTGACTCAGCCTGCAGCTGTGACCTCTGCTCCGGGAGGAAACATACAAATCCACTGTAGTGTCAGTCAGAATGTGTATAGCAATAAATACTTAGCCTGGTACCAACAGAAGGATGGAGAAACTCCTACAATGCTCATTTATGAGACTAGCTATCGAGCATCAGGGATATCAAGTCGTTTTTCAGGCAGTGGATCTGGATCTAGTTTCACTCTGACCATCAGTGGAGTCCAGACTGAAGATGCAGCAGTTTACTACTGTCAAAGTTATCACAGTCCATATATGTTCACACAGTGAAAAAGCGTCGTACAAAAACCTCCTGCAGACAGATATCAATAATGACTCCTCCTCCCCCTGTCCTCAATCTCATACGTCATGTCAAGTTCTGGTTCTCCTTTACAGCTAAAGTCTCAAATTAACTTCATAATCTCTCCAAATCAAACAGTATATTTTAGTTGACCTTTGCCTGTAACAATTTATAAAGTCACACAAAAAAACTGCATATATTTAGAACAAGCACGGACACAGCCATGATCATCATTGGTGGTAAGGCAGGTACATTTCCACAGTATTATTAGCACTAAGGTCATTCGAAGAGCCGATACAGGGTCATGGTCCCCTGACAACACTGTAGAGCTGTATTTCATCTGTGAAGTTCAGGTCACTGATTATGTTCTTTTCTACAATCCCTGCTCGTGTCGGCAGTTAAAATCTAAGAGTCCACAGATGGAGCCTTGGGGAACTCCACGTTAGATTGTTGTCTGCTCAGATGTGAACTTACTCAAAGAACTTCATATCCAAATTTAAAGCCTGTTGTATATGGTGGTCATCTAACTGGGGATACTATCCTACCATTGTCCATGTTGAACTGGACGCCATTAAACATCTTAACCAGAGCAGGATGAAAATCACATTTTAGGTTTGACTTGATCAGTTATAAGATCAGGATCAAAATCTTTCATTCGACCTCTGCCAGTAAAAAATCTGACCAGTTTGATACGAGAAAATCTTTATTGTTTTAAAATCATGAATACATCAGCTAAAGCAGAAACACTGAAACATGAAACACCATGACTGAAGGACAGAACAAGAGAGAGAGAGAGAGAGAGAGAGAGAGAGAGAGAGAGTTTAGACTGAGAGCAGGAAGAGAGGAAAATCTGAATCAGGGTCCCAGTGAATCAGATCACTACTGGGAACACTCGTCTCTCCTCAGGGTATAAGAGACCGGATTCTGGGAGCCCTGGGTGGCCTCACAGGTCACAGAGACCACCTTGTCCCACTGCTCTGCAGGGAGCCTCAGGGTGCTGCTCCAGGTGTATTTACCGTCCTTCTCCAGCACCGCAGGGCTCCTGCTCTCCTCCCAGCTGCTGCTGCTGCTGCCGTCCACCTTCCAGACCAGAGTCCAGTCTGAGGGGAAGCCCTTGTTGGCCAGGCACATGAGCGTGGCCTTGCCCTGCTGCTGCTGCTGCTTCAGCTCGTCTTTGGAGGGGGGCAGCACCGTCAGTTTGGGAGGGGAATCACCTAGGAGACACCAATCAGCTTAGAGGACAGGGAGCACACAGCTGTCAATCAAACAGCAGACACTGGGACAGCTTTCATGTTGAACGTTGATTTTCTTCTTCATGGACTTTCACTTCCCTTTAAGAAACCTCTCATGCACATCAGCACAGAGACACTCACATACTGACTAACCCCACTGAAAATCACTGAAATAACACAAACACTATCAGACCATTCAAACATTACACTTTTGACTATTCTGAGGAAATACATATCAATACTCATCAGTCAATCAATCGATCAAGTCAGACGATCTAATGTTCTTCATGTGAGTTGAAATCCTCACCAGTCGAGTTCAAAAGAGTCTCATTTAAAAAGACATCAAGAGATCAGAGATGTTCTTCTTTTTCCTTCATGGTTTTTATGTCGACACTGGGTTGGAAATCTTCAAACGGCCAAATCAGATCAATATCATCAAGAGTTCAAAATGCAGTTTTAGAAAATGAGTTTAAATGAATTTCAAAAAAGTGAAAAATTTTTCTCAAAATAAAATTCAACCTCCAAGTTGGTCAGAATTTTGACATTTTTTGACCAGACTGTGTGAAAAACTGTTCAGTGTAACTGTCCTGAATGAACCTCCGTGTGAAGAAACAACAGTGATCAATAAAAAAAGATCAAATCAAAATGTCCAAATTCAACAGAAAAAGTTCTGTTTCAAATAAGAATTTATACACTATGTTGAACTGAAAGATTTGATATTAAAATAGAAACTTACTTCCAACATCCAGTCTGGTTCCTCCACCAAAAGTCCACCACAGTGATACAAAGTCATTGAGGCGCCGTACAAAAACCTCTGACTGTAGAGAGACACGGCTCTCTGACTCTGACTGAACTAAACCTACCAGCCCTCAGGCTCCAACTGAAGACCAACATTAGAAACACTTCATTATTTCATGGACTCAGATTTAATTGGAGTTTTTATACAGTTTTAGTTTCTAACTGACACCTGGATCCCTCAAGTTTCACTCGCTCTAAAACATGCAAAAAGAAAAAGAAACGCGAATATTTTTCCTTCAGTCTTTCAAAAGAAGAAATCAGAAACAAAAATGACTGACTCAAAAGAAAAAGACTTTATATTTGACTTACTTCCAAGATCCAGTCTGGTTCCTCCACCGAACGTGTACCACAGTGATACAAAGTCATTGAGGCGCCTTATAAAAACCTCTGACTGTAGAGAGACACGGCTCTCTGACTCTGACACAAACAAAGTCACCTAAATGTGTCTCTGTCTGCAAGAGCTTTGAGCTCCAATGAAAGCAGAGAATTCAATGTAGTCCATTTGAATGAATCCAGTTTTTAAAGATCTTTATTGATTTACTGAATAGTTGACATTCATTGTCCTCAGCATCGGGCTAGGACTGAAGAAATCTCTCCAAATAGATGGATGAAGAAGAACAAACCTAAACCTTCATGATACAAGTCAGGAAAGCTGTTTGATCAATCAGGAAATGAACTGATTGATCCATTATTGAACATCTTCATCATCATCATCATGTCTATAATCTATGGCCGTGTTGGAGTTAATCTGAGCATTTCCATAAAGAGTGAGTTTGCATGAGCAGCAGCATGCTCCAGTGCTCTGAGAGACTTTATAGTCCTGAGAGTTGAAGACTGGATGACTGACAGCTGTCCTTCATCACAGCAGAAGACACAGAAATCCTCCTCCTCCTGATCAGAAACATGACTGTGATCTGCGTCCTCATCTGGACTCTCCTCTGCTGCTGCTTCACAGGTAAAGTCCAGAGAATCCAACTCCTCTCCTCTATGAACATCCGTCCCTCTGAAATGAAGCCCACAAAACCATGACGCTGCTTTCTGTGTTTGTCTCTGTATCCTCAGAGTCCAGAGGACAGGTCACAGTGACTCAGCCTGCAGCAGTGACCTCTGCTCCAGGAGAAGACGCAAGAATCAGTTGTAGTGTCAGTCAGAATGTGCATGGCAATAGCTATCTGCACTGGTACCAACAGAAGGATGGAGAAACTCCTAAACTGCTCATTAAGTATACTAATCAGCTGTTATCAGGGATATCAAGTCGTTTTTCGGGCAGTGGATCTGGATCTAGTTTCACTCTGACCATCAGTGGAGTCCAGACTGAAGATGCAGCAGTTTACTACTGTCAGAGTCAACACAGCATCAACAGTCAGTGGGTGTTCACACAGTGAAAAAGCGTCGTACAAAAACCTCCCTCAGTCAGACTGAACTGAAACTGAACTGACGGCTGCAGCTGGAGGTTCACACACACACACACACACACACACACACAAACACACGAAAAGGAATGATAATTTCACTTTTTTATCATCAATGTTAACATATTAATTAAATATTTAGTTTAGTCTAGTCAACATTGTACCAACATCCCTCACATTAAACTCAGTTCCCTCTCATTAAATCTGCTTTTTTACAGATGACAGTGTTTGATATACCTCAATATCCTGATACCCTGATCTAATAACTGATCAAAGCTCCACTTTTTGAGAGAATAAAGAATTTGTTTTTTTTTAGGCCTCATGGGGACATACTGTAATATTAATAAACAACATCAAGTTCTTCTCAGTTTGAACTTGGACCAAAAATCTACTCCAGAATATATTATTATATTAGTGTCCTATAGATTTAAAAACTACCTCTGCTGCATAAAACCCTTTAAATTTACATGTTCAAAAACACAACAAATTAAAAAATAAAGCCTTAAAAAAAACGGAGCAGTTTCTTACCAGGATGAGTTTTTATATCTCTGATAAGAACCGAATCATTCTAAAGAATTAAACTTGAATCATGATCCAGTCTCCTGTGTGAGTTCTCAAATTTTTGATCAAATTCCCTCTAAAGTTGAACCCTTTACAACACTTAGGGCAGCCAAATGGTTTTTATATACATAATATACTACACACAAAAAACAAAAAACAAAACAGGATGAAACCATTTTTTGTTACCTGTTGGTTATGGTTTGCACTGTTGAATTTCTCTGTATACGGTGGGGACATCTCGTCAGCAGAGAGCGCTGTGGCTGACCCTCTCAGTACAATCGAGTGAGAAGCCAGACGGAGATTGTAAACGCGGGCAGAAGAACTGATTGTTAACTGATGTTCCCACAGTAAAGAAAGAGACATGATACTGATGTAGAGAGAAAAACACGAGTGACCTTGACAAATGGTGCAAGTTAAGGAGTTCAGGGGAACTCGCATACCGTGCGGCACCAGCTCGGTAGTCACCAGGTAGTTGACTAGCATGCCTGAAGCTAGCTAGTGGCTAGTTGTTTCGTTCGTGCATCGTCAGTTAACCGGCGGTTTGGCTCGCGCGTTATCGAGCACCCGTTCGCAGTCGGCTCGTGTGTGGGGGTGCCGTGTTTGCTTGTGTTTCTCACCTGTCGGCTCATTAACGTGCAGAACCGGAGTGTGACGTTGGGCTTCCGGTTGACCCGCGACAGTTGATGATAACAATGTAAACATGATTGATTAGAATAACAGTAAGAATAATTACTATTTGTGTTAAAAATGGAGTTCATGGAATATAAATAATTTGATAAAAAAAAGAAGAAAGAAAGGTGTTCAGTGCACAATATTTTAAGATACTGTGAATATTTTTACCTGTACAATCGAGTGAGAAGCCAGACGGAGAGATTGTAAGCACGGACATAAGAACTGATTGTTAACTGATGTTCCCACAGAAATTAAAGAAAAACTAATGTGCTGCACCAAGAGGAGCCTCCTTCTTCATCCTTTACGTGCAACACCTGCACAATCAAAACAAATGTCAGCACAGAGTACGATTTCAGAGTTTCATTTGATCTTTCCAAACCACGTCTTTTGTAATTTTTTTTTTGTCAGTAAGACAAAAGTGGACATGTACAGAACTTATATTTGTATGGTGTTTCCTACTCCTCCATTTTTGCCGGCGCACAACCTGCAAATCCCGTCAGCATCAGTGCAGACTCGCTATTGAAGGGCTGAAGAGTCCACTCGCCCTCCTCACTCTGTGGTTTGGGATGGCCTTCAATATGGCGGTGCCTCCGCGGGGACACGCAAACGGAGGGAGAGTGTATAGGGTGAGTGTGTAGGGGGCAGTTTGGGATTGGGCTGATGTGATTGGGAGCTGGTTACCCTTCACCTGGCTCGTTAGAGGGGAGTAATCTTTAAAAGCCTCTTCCTTTGTGTGCTCTGGTCCTTCTCTGACAGCTGACTTTGACTCTGCCTTGCAATATTTGAATTATACAAAGTAAAGACATTTGCGTTTGTGGTGGGAGGTGGGCAAGACTGAGGTAGGTTGGGGTACCCTTTACATTCAACAAACACGTAGTCACACTTTTGTATAGCACACTAGGTTGTGGGTTGGTACCATCTGTGTATGTTTTGAGAGACTTTTCTTAGCCAGTCAGTTTGGCCTTTTTGTTGCTGTTTCTTTGTCTCAGACAGTGTTAAGTTAGGCCCTGTTTTGTTGTCTTAAGTTCATTTATTTGGCACTCTTCCCCACACAGTCTGCTTCCCCTCCCACCTTTGATTCCCTTTTGTTCATGACCTGATTTTTGTTAAATAAATAATTCACACGCTGGAATTACTCCTTGACTGTTTGTGTTACTTTCTTGTGCTCAGCTAGAGGAGGGTAACAAATCAAATTAAATTTGAAATAAAGAACTCAAAGAGTTTTTGGTCGTTATGAACAAATAACAGAGTATCATCAGCATACAGAGTTATCAGGAGGATTTAAGGAGTTCACTTGGACCATTCTTAATGAGGACTGCTGTGTGTTAGTGTGTGTATGAATCCTCACTGAAGTGTATCAGGGTCTGAAGGAAGTTCATCTACAGCTGTGTGTTCAGTCTGACTGAGGGAGGTTTTTGTATGACGCTTTTTCACTGTGTGCAGACCCACTGACTGTTGGGGTAGTGCCAACTCTGACAGTAATAAACTGCTGCATCTTCAGTCTGGACTCCACTGATGGTCAGAGTGAAACTAGATCCAGATCCACTGCCTGAAAAACGACTTGATATCCCTGATTGTCGAGTGCTAGCAAGATAAATGAGCAGTTTAGGAGTTTCTCCGTCCTTCTGTTGGTACCAGTGCAGATAGTTATTGTTATGCACATTCTGACTGACACTACAGCTGATTTGTGCGTTTCCTCCCGGAGCAGAGGTCACAGCTGCAGGCTGCATTCTGACGGCTAATTGTTTTTTTTTTATTTTGACAAAGTGTATAAAATTGAAAACCTTAAATCTTTATTATTTTCATGGTTTTCAGAGGTTCTAAGGACTTCTGTTATAGCACTGAAACGTGTCTGTAGTCATGGTTAAGCAGCGATGCCTGTCTGTTGCCATGGTTACTGGAGTAAGAGGGAAGTGAAAGAGCTGAGATCAGTTTCATCTTCTCAACTGTAGTCAGCTGTAGTGACCTCTTGTGCTGAAGTTTATTGAAGCTCTTTTTTCATCTCTCTCTCTGTAGTGGATCAGGTGACCCTCAGACTGATGGAGATGGTCCACTCCAGAAACTAAGGCCTTCATAGACAGGAGCTCTCTCTCCTCTAAAAACACCTTTGGACTAAACTTGTGTCTTCTTTCAGCTCTCCTTCTTTCCTGAACATAACATGACACAACACCTGCAGCAGAGTTGATGAGTGCATTTGTCCATTCATAGGAATCATTTCCATAGAGAGTGAGTTTGCATGAGCAGCAGCATGCTCCAGTGCTCTGGAAGACTTTATAGTCCTGAGAGTTGAAGACTGGATGACTGACAGCTGTCCTTCATCACAGCAGAAGACACAGAACTCCTCCTCCTCCTGATCAGAAACATGACTGTGATCTGCGTCCTCATCTGGACTCTCCTCTGCTGCTGCTTCACAGGTAAAGTCCAGAGAATCCAACTCCTCTCCTCTATGAACATCTGTCCCTCTGAAATGAAGCCCACAAAACCATGACGCTGCTTTCTGTGTTTGTCTCTGTATCCTCAGAGTCCAGAGGACAGTACACAGTGACTCAGCCTGCAGCAGTGACCTCTGTTCTGGGGGGAACCGCACAAATCAGCTGTAGTGTCAGTCAGAATGTATATAACAATAACTATCTGCACTGGTACCAACAGAAGGACGGAGAAACTCCTAAACCGCTCATTTATACTGTTAGTACTCTAGTATCAGGGATATCAAGTCGTTTTTCAGGCAGTGGATCTGGATCTAGTTTCACTCCAACCATCAGTGGAGTCCAGACTGAAGATGCAGCAGTTTACTACTGTCAGAGTGAACACTACATCAACAGCCAGTGGGTGTTCACACAGTGAAAAAGCGTCGTACAAAAACCTCCCTCAGTCAGACTGAACTGAAACTGAACTGACGGCTGCAGCTGAAGGTTCACACACACACACAAAGACATAAAGAGGAATAATAATTTCACTTTTTTATCATAGATGTTAACATATGAATTAAATATTTAGTTTAGTCTAGTCAACATTGTACCAACATCCCTCACATTAAACTCAGTTCCCTCTCAATAAATCTGCTTTTTTACAGATGACAGTGTTTTATACACCTCAATATCCAGATAACCTGATCTAATAACTGATCAAAGCTCCACTTTTTGAGAGAATAAGAATTTGTTTTTTTTTCAGGCCTCATGGGGACATAATATTAATAAACAACATCAAGTTCTTCTCAGTTTGAACTTGGAGCAAAAATCTACTCCAGAATATATTATTATATTAGTGTACTATAGATTTAAAAACTACTAAAATTATACAGACAAAAACACAACAAATTAAAAAATAAAGCCTTAAAAAACTGAGCAGTTTCTTAACAGGATGAGTTTTCATATCTCAAAAATGGAGTGAGAGCTCTTTACATAACATAACACACTTCTTTTTTTTATTTTTTTTAATATCCGCCTATATTGTGCACTTCTTTATTAAGGGTGTACAGGTACCAAGTGTCTTGATACTCTATTTTACACATTATTTTGGAGGTTTAATAATCAGTGAACAAATTAAATCAGTTTCAGCCTCTTCAGTGGACAAAAAAAAGCAATTTACCACCAATGTTCTTCTTATGACTCAAGAATTTATTTATTTTTCAATAGAAAAACAACTTTTGTGTTCTATATGGATACTTCTGATATCTGTGTTGGGCTCCTAGGCGTAAAAGTTTTAGTATGTCCTCAGGAAGCCTCATACAAAATTTGTCACTTTTATCAGCAAGTTCAAAATCCACCTAAAAAGTGAGCTAAGCCTCTTGGGCTCTATTTTGGTGCCTCGCCGGAGATCTGCCGCAAGCGCAGCGTCAATCAGATCCGCCGCGCTGACAAGGCGTCCCCAAGCACATTTTGGTATTTTGGTGAGCCGCGCAGCCCGGCGTAAGTATCCCCCCTCACTAACTCAGCTCCTCCCAGCAGCATAAGTCGTAGACGGGGAGGAGAGAGGGCGTGTAGTAGATTTAACACAGCCGAGACCTGTTTTCACCAATCACATAAGCTCCTCTCCTTGCCTTTAAATCCGCCACCGGCGAGGCGTATTACTATTTTCATGAAGTAGTCAAAGAGATCAAGAGATGTCTGAAGACAGTTATGCCACACGATGGCGACAGAGGGCAGCTGCTCAACAAGTGTCCTCCACACTCTCTCATCTGAGCACAGATGGATTTGGTGTGTGTAATGTTGGACCCACTGGTAAGACAAACACCCTTTTCCACAAATAAAGACACTCACATAAAGTTGCATATATTCAAACCTCACGTGACAAAGGTGGGTTTAGCGCATAGATCACAACATAAACTCCAAAAATGGCATTAAAATCGGAACCATCTGTGCGTAAATGACGCATCGCGCTCCGTGGCCTGGCTCTTTCTTTCATAGATGTTGGCATATAAAATAAATTTGGCCCACAAAACTGAATATTATAATATCCGTATGTCGGCTTAAAGTAGATCACGCATCTGAGCACTGAAACAAATCATCTGTTCAGCCGCAGCAGCAAGCAAGACGGACAGAGGACACGGAGACGTGTCCAGGTCGAGCTGTGCGAGAAATAAGAGGAAGAAAGAAAAGGAGGGAGACACATTACATATCTTGTTAACTTCATCATGTGTGTTTATTTACTAGATATTTAATTTAATTCGATGCAGTTTCAGCTGTATTGATTCGGTCAGGTTGTGTGCCCAAACGCGTGCCAAACGCGCTCATCAGATCAGATATAGATCAGAATATATCGATATAGATCTAAATGTATGTGCTGACTCAGATTAATAGTTGTTGATAATAATAATAATAATAATAATAATTTTATTTATATAGCACCTTTAAAAACAGAAGTTTACAAAGTGCTTAGACAACAGTTGTAAGCACAGAGCATCAGCACATTGAAAATAAAAACACATAAAAACAAAAGCTCAGTTAAAAAACAGGCATCTGAATTGTAGGCCTGTTTCACTTTTCGTAAGAAACCCAGGCAATACAAGAACCCTACAAAATAAATGGGACCATGAGGACCAAAATAAAAGCAAAAAAAAAAAGAAATCGAAAAGGAGGGAAGAAAACAGGCTAGTAAGTATAAAAGAGGATATTAATAATAATAATAAAATCATAATAAAATAAAATGATGGTAATATAAATGATAAAGTGGAATTAAATATATATATATAAAATAAAGGAAAATGAAAACATTAAAATCAATAAAAAGATTATAAGTAAAACAAAGGCTAAAAAGGCAGTAAGTCTAAATAAGAAAGAGGTGAAAGAGGTAAAAGAAGAAGGAGAAAAATAAAAACGGTAAAAGGCAATAAAAGATGAAAGATGGCATCACATAAAGGCAAGTCTGTAAAAGTGAGTTTTTAAAATTGACTTAAAAGAAGCGACTGTCTCTGCACGCCTTATCTCCTCTGGCAGGTCGTTCCAAAGTCGAGGAGCTCTGATGGAGAAAGCTCTATCACCTTTAGTCTTGAGCCTCGACTTTGGAACGACCAGGAGGCCTTCGCTAGAGGATCTGAGGCTGCGAGTTGGCTCATAAGATATTAAAAGCTCTGAAATGTAGCTTGGAGCAAGTCCTTTGAGCGCTTTAAAAGTAATCAATAAAATCTTAAAATCAATTCTAAAGCTGACAGGAAGCCAGTGAAGGGAGGCTAAAATTGGGGTGATGTGATGCCGTCGACTAAAACCAGTTAAAAGTCTAGCTGCTGCATTCTGAACTAGTTGGAGGCGAGAGAGTGATTTCTTGTTTAGACCAGGGAGGAGAGAGTTACAATAGTCCAGTCTTGAGAAAATGAAGACGTGGATTATCTTTTCGAGATCTGGTGGGGTGAGTATTTGTTTAATCTTTGAAATGGAGCGCAGGTGAAGGAAACAGGACTGGACAATCTTGTTGATATGGGTGGAGAAGGTGAGGTCTGAATCAAAGGTTACTCCCAGATTTCTGGCTGTTGGTTTGATGATTACTGAGTGTGGACCGAGACAAGACTGAATGAGGGGGAGTTTTGTATGTTACAGAGAATTATTTCAGATTTTGAATAATTTAGCTGAAGGAAATTTTGTGCCATCCAACAGTTAATGTCACTTAGACAGTCCATGACAGCAGCTAGGCCTCTTGGGTCCTCAGGTCTCAAAGGAAGGTATATCTGTGTGTCGTCTGCATAGCAGTGAAAGGAGACTTTGTGGCGCTGAATTAATTGGCCGAGGGGCAGCATGTATATAGAAAATAAAATTGGACCTAAAACTGAACCTTGCGGAACACCACAGGCGATAGCAGAAGTAGAGGAGGTGTGATTGCCTATGGTGACCGCAAAGGTTCGTTCTAAAAGATACGACTGAAACCAGCCAAGTGCAGTGCCCCTGACACCCACCCAGTTTTTAAGACGTTCAATTAAAATGGTATGATCAACTGTATCAAAAGCTGCACTGAGATCTAAAAGAATTAAAATTGAGCCCTCCCCTCTATCTGCTGCTAAAAGAAGGTCATTGGTCACACGGAGGAGGGCAGTCTCAGTGCTGTGACCTGCTCTAAAACCAGACTGAAATTTCTCAAAGAGGTTGTTTTCGGACATAAAACCTAAAAGCTGTTTAGAAACCACCTTCTCTAAAAGTTTGGATAAAAATGGAAGTTTTGAAATTGGTCTAAAATTGTTAAAATCAGAGGGGTCAAGGTTTGGCTTCTTTAAAAGGGGTTGGACCACAGCGTGTTTAAAAGCAGAGGGAAATACTCCCTCCACTAGAGAGCTATTAATGATGGATAAAATGCAAGGCCCAACCACGTTAAAAACCTCTTAGAGAAATCTGGTGGGGATAGAATCAAGACTGCACGTAGCAGGTTTCATTTTGGCTAAAATATCAGATAAAAATTTTAAGGACACCGGCTCAAAACTACTAAAAAAGTGCTTAACTTCCCGGCTTAAGAGCACAGGGAGACTGGGAGGGGTGATTTGATGCCTGATGTCCATAACCTTGTTAATAAAATGAATTAAAAACTTCTCACAGGTTTCTTGAGAAGCATCAGTAAAATAAGAGGGGGAAGGGTTTGAAAGAGACTCTAAAACCTTGAATAAAATTCTGGGGTTTGAATAATTAGCTAAAATCAAATTTGAGTAAAATGCTGCCCTTGCATCCTTAACTGCCTTCTGGTAGTTTTTCAAGGAGTCTCTCCAAATTTCGAGGAAAACCACCAACCCAGTTTTCTTCCATTTGCGTTCGTTTTCGTCTACAAATTCTCTTTAGTTCATGGGTGGACTCTGTGAGCCAGGGTTGGGGTTCTCTGTTAGATCTTTTCTTTTTCAGAGGAGCTACAGAGTCCAGGATGGTTCCACACATACTGTTAAAAAGAGAGACAAGCTCTTCAGTGTTAAAAACTGGATTAAAATCTGGGTTGAGGGCAGTTAAAGATGCAGAGATAAAAAGCTCCGAAAACTTGCTAGCAGACGATGCATTAAAAACCCTTCTAAAAACAGGAGTGTGATCGGTAAAAGAGGGCTGGGATAAAACCATGGAGAATAAAACCAGTTAGTGATCTGACACACAGATATCCTTAGTTAAAAACTCCCCAGGACTAAGTCCAGTAAATAAAACCAAATCTAAGCAGTGTCCCTTTACATGAGTGGGTTCCTGTATTGCCTGGGTAAGATTAAAGGAGTCCAGAGTTTCAATAAAATCAACAGTTAAGGGTTGAGAGGGACAACAGACATGTACATTAAAATCACCCAAAATAAGAACTTTGTCATATTTACAAATAAAAAGGGATAGAAACTCTGAAAACTCCTGAATAAAAACAGCATTGTGTTTGGGTGGTCGATAAATGATTATGATTAAAACAAGTTCTTTCAATTTAACAATAAAAGCAAGGTGCTCAAATGAACTAAAAGTGCTGAAGGTGATGGGGGTGCATTTAAAATCCTTCTTGTATATGACAGCCACCCCCCCTCCCCGGCCTGACTGCCGGGGCTGATGGAGGTGAGTAAAATCAGGGGGGGTGGCTTCTATAAGAGAAATACAATTGTCCGGAGTCAGCCAAGTTTCAGTCAGAATAAAAAAGTCCAGACTGTTTTGTGAGATAAAATCATGGCATAAAAATGTTTTGTTGTTGAGGGATCTGATGTTTAAAAGTCCAAAGTTTGCAGGTTTGCTGTTAAAAGCAGGGCGGGGTAGCCGAGGAAGCAGGGGGATGAGGATGAGATTGGTGGGGGGACAAAGTCTGGCTGGAGGACGGGGAGGACGTGAGGATGTGATGCGGACTGGGATCACGGATTTACTGATAGTACTAGTGGGGGGCAGAGGAAGGTGGGGGTTGGCAGGTGAATAAGCGGGGATTGTGGGACTGTTTTGAGATGACCAGAGGTTATTGTGAGGAGGAGGGGGGGTGGCCTGGATGTGGAAAGATGGGCTGCTGAGTGCAGACTGTCAGACGGGTGAGGAGTGGATCATATACTGGATGTTGCAAGAGAGCATTCGGCTACCCCGCCTGTTGGGGTGGATCCCATCATGGCTAAAAAGTGATGCTCGGTCCCAAAACAGATTAAAATTGTCAATAAAACCGAAGTTGTGGGTGGGGCATGTGGATTGGAGCCAGGTGTGGAGGCTGAGGATCCTGCTAAAACGTTCCCCTCCACGACCGAGAGTGGGGATCGGGCCAGAGATAAAAACAGTCTTTCCAGTGTCCTTTAAAACGTTAAAAAGCAAGTTAAAATCCCTCTTTGTGGTTTCTGACTGCTTAAGGGACATGTCGTTTGAACCAACATGGAGCACAATCTTAGTGACAGAGGAGGGGAGAGAGGGGAGTAGATTAAGAAGTTTGTCCAGGATGACAGGTACCGTGGCGCCGGGAAAACAGTGAGTGATGGCATTAAAAAACCTGATGTACCTGGTTATGGAGTCTCCGATGATGAGCGTGGTCGGGGGAAAAAGGGGATGAGGAGCTGGTGTGCAGGCGCTGAAGCCTTCGGAAGTTGGGCGCTCCACCTGTGCAGGAGACGGCGATTGTCGGCAGTGAGCGGACGCAGGTGGAGTGAGGTTGTTGCCGGCCCGGGGGAGCCTCTCCGAGCGCCTGGAGACGGCCTCCTTCAGCAGCCTGCGACGCAGTATCCCGGTCGAGGAGGGCCGCGGTGCCAGGTCCGAGTTGGACATCCGCGGAGCCGCCTCTGCTGGAGCTGGGACCGTCAGGAGAGGTGGAGCCGGAGCAGGGACTGGGACAGCGGGAGCTTCATCCCTCAGGGCCAAGAAGCGGTTGGAGAGAGAGAGCCGTGGTGGTGAGGGGACTCTCTCCGCTGCAGTCGTCCTCCGTCCGCGTTGCGCCACCTCGAGCCAGGTTTGCTGCCCCTTCAGCTTTGGGGTCGAGCTGTGGGTAGGGAGCGCTGGGAGCCCCGCTACCATGCCAGTGTCAGGATCGTCCAGCGGTCTCAGATCCTGACTGTACCGATGCGCGGGAGGAGAGGTGGAGAGACAGCCTGCCGGCTTTGCGCTGTGCGGCACGGGTGAGCCGGCTGGACCCTCGGCTGCAGGGCCCTCGGCCGGCCCGATCGGAGAATGCAGGGAGGCCAACCAGGGCAGAGTGGCAGCGGAGGCCGAAACCAGCTGTGGTGCCAGAGCCGAGGGCGAAAGACCGGTGATCCTGGAGGCCTGACTCAGGGATATATGTTTGGCTTGAGCTGAAGCTACAGATATGAAGCCCTCCAGCAGCCTATCCTTCTCACGGAGATCATTTTGCAAACGACAAAGCTTCTCTTCCAACCGTGAGTTTTTTATTTTGCAGTCCGCACACACAGCCATTTAAAATTCCCACTCTTCCGGGTCCCGCGCAGAGTTCCGTGCGTAATGCAGCGTGGATCGTCTGAGGGCCGTCTTAAAATAGCCGATAAAACCCATACACGGTAAAAATTCAACTTAAAAGCCAACAAACTGTTAAGAATGCAGTCTAAAAAGTTGCTTAAAACCGGTTAAAATTGGGTTAAAAGTCGCCCGGGACGGAGCGATTCGGCGGGATCGTGTGCCAATCGATAACACTTACCCTCTTCCTTCCTGTTGATGATTATTTATTGCACTGAAATCTGCCTGACACTGTGGAAACCTGCCGGTGAGGCATCAGTGACGTATGTCGATACGCCGCCGGTCTACCAAAATACTACTAGACCAGCTGCGTTCCGCCTTGCGCTGAAAGCTGACCAGGTTTGAATCGGCGAGCTTTCAGCGCACATTACACGCCGGTGGCGAGCACGAAAAATGTCACTCAGCAGCTGATTCTGTCAACACCTTCCCCTGCCACGCCACCACGCCCAGCTTGGCGGATCTCGGCTCGCCTCCGTGCGACTCAGTCCACGAAAATACCAAACTCGCCTTACGCCGGGCTCCGCCAGACGAAAATACAACTGCGCGGGGCTCGCCGCCCTCCGCCGCCTCACCGGCGCGAACGAAAATAGAGCCCCTTGACTAAGAGTCAAAAGCTGAAAATCCAGGTATCCAAACTTTATTGTGCCGCTCAAACAACAGAGAGCTGTGAAATGTTGACCTGAAAATAAGACAACCCTGATTATAAGACGACCCCTATTTCAGGACTAGTTTAAAGTAAAAGACTTATGAGGACAAAATCTGGTTTATAAAAAGAAAACAATCCTGTTACGTGTGAGGCCGGCTCAGAAGAGCCTCCTGTCTGGTCTCTTTCTCTCTCTCTCTCTGCATGTAGGGAAGTCTGGGAACAAGATGGCTGCATGCCCTTCCATGTGACATGTGGAGAGTATGGCCCAATCCCAAACCGACCCCTACACACTCCGCCTTCACTACCGAGTGTCACCCGTAATGAAGTTACACTCACAGCTGTGGAGTGCGCCTCAATTGAAATGGGACGGTATAAACAAGACGGGCGGGTATGGGACGCCCTCCTCACTCCACTGGAAAACTGAAAGATTCATCGCCATAGCAACATAAAGACGCGTCCTGTCATAAATCCAGTAACCATTACAGTGACAGGAGCTAAATTATACCTCTGATTGTCAGTGATTCCACATGTCTTTGAACCCCTTTACTATTTGACATGTGCCTGTGTGGCACGAGGTGTTTTCCAAGACAGCAAGACATTGGGACAACTTAGCATTTACCACTTACCCCCCATTTTTCCATCTTTCAAAGGTTATTATCATTATTAGTTTTATACACATAATATACTACACACACACACACACACACACACACAACAAGAACAGGATGAAACCATTTTTTGTTACCTGTTGGTTATGGTTTGCACTGTTGAATTTCTGTGTACACGGTGGGGACATCTCGTCAGCAGAGGGCGCTGTGTGCACGCGCTCTCCATGGCTGACCCTCTCAGTACAATCGAGTGAGAAGCCAGACGGAAAGATTGTAAACACGGTCATAAGAACTGGAGCCGTATGCACGTTGCTTGGCAAAACGCGTTTAGCGGGCTAAATGCGTTTAACTCCTAAACGCCAAAAATGTCGGTATGCACATCACTTGGTATAGCCGTACCTATGCGGATTTTCGCGTTTAAAGTTATCGCACCTCTGGGGGTCCAATAGCGGGTCTAAACGCGTTTAAATATGGCGGCACTCTTGTTGTTCCAAGGAAGACAGCGGCGACAATTGCGTCGAAACAGGATTTTTCGTGACAGAAAACACCCCTTCGACACGTATGACAACCACGAAGTGTTCCGTAAGAATAATAATAAAAGTAGGCCTACATTTACATTTCCTGAAGGTGTAATACTAATGGCATGCACAGAGCCAATGACCAAAATTTAAAAAAAACTCACCTGCCACACCAGTAAACAAATTCGATTTTTCCCCGATGATACCCAGAATAATTTCCTCATAGTGTGACAGCCGGGGGCGGGGTTAACAGAAAATGGTATCTAGAAGAAGATGTAGTGAAATACTGTAACCCCTATTTACCAATCAACTACTGGTTACTGATTACAAATTGATTTTTGTTGCTGACAACGCCACCCCAGGAATTTCACCTGGAGAGTATAAATTACCCCTGAGTATAAAACTAGGGCACACACAGGTTCGTCTGCTAGTGAAGACGGGAGGCCGTGGTCCAGTGTACAAATATGTTTAAATTTTATTTGACAATTTTCACCAAAAACAAAGTTAATAAAATATTTTTTCGCTCATTCATCCGCACTCATTCACACACAAACACACACACACTTCTATAGCAACAATATTGCCTATAAAATTGTTGTGCAAATAGCAAATCCTGGTTGAATCAACAATAACCACAAATACCAAAATAAAGAAAACTAGCAAGCAAAAAAAGAAGAAAGATAACTCAAAATATTTAGAAATAACCAAACCAAACAAACATGCAAATAAACCAAATACTAATAACTAACAAAACAAAGTACTCAAACTGGAGAAACAAAACACAAAACACTCAAATCACAAAATAATATCAAATGATTTAAACCATAATAGACTAAATGCCAACAAAATGAGGAAGCTGAGGCAACAGGTTACCAAAATAAAACTTCGTCCCAAGGGTGTTGACGTCACCTCACATGAAGCAGAACGCCATCGGATGAAAGTTAGATAGCGATAGTGACGGCCTTACCAACGGCGATGAGACAGGAGTACAGTAAAGCAGGCAGAAGCTGTAGCAGAAACAACCACAGCAGCAGCACAGGAGCAAACCAGCAGCCCAGAAGCCGACAGCAGCACAGAAGCAGACCAGCAGCACCGAAGCAGACCAGCAGCCCAGAAGCAGAACAGCAGCACAGCCGATAGCAGCCCGAGAGGAGGGAGGAGAGTTTAGGGCAGCCCGACCGGCTCACACACACAAAACCTAATGTGAGAAAAATATAATTTAGCACCACGGCTTGATAAGGATCGCATGAGTTGCAGTCATTTAAAACACATACCGTCAGAAAGTTGAATGAACCTCACTAGGGCGAGGGAACGAGGCACCCGAAGCGCCACAGAACTATCAATGGCCAATCAGCTGATCAACCCCAGCTGTGTGGGGATACAGGAAGACACACTTTGGGTCCCGCAATCGGTTCGATGCAGGAGAGAGAAGACCCAGTGAGGAACTGTTGGAGACAAATACCAACCCTGACGGCAACCGCAAAACTTTTAAAGCGCTGTAAAGCGATGTATGGAAAGTATGTGATTGGCATACCAGGAGCAGCGAACTGAGCACACAGACAATCCGGCAGCGAGGCGATCAGGTACGGTGACCAGGTGCTGTGATTAGGGAGGCAGCAGAGCTGACAAGAGCTCGGAGCAGAGGGAGAGGGCTCCCAGGGAGCAAGCACCCACATTTATAGACTATGCCCCCTGAAGGCATAGGCCGAGACTGCAACCTAATCAATGTACAGCTGGGCTGTCAGCCCATACTGCCACATTCTACCCCCGGCAATTGAATCGTCTCCCGACGATTGAACGACTAACACTACGGAATGGCACTACTAGTCCCATGGCCGATAGAATGCTGTAACGGCACTGGACACTGGAGCAGGGGGTAAACCCTGTACGGGCCTCGGAAGGTGATGCACATTTAAATGGTGACCAGCCGTTGACCTGGCTGACCGGCGGACTGCACCTTCACCAGAATGACTGGTTGAGGGACCCACCAAAGGAACTGCAGGGACCTCTGCAGTAGCAGCAGGGGTGATGCTGGAAGGCCCTGGATCAATGTGGTCCGGCGGGGGCAATAACCGAGGGGTGGTTTGAGTAACCACAGCTGTATGAGCAGGGGTGGTGATAGGGATTCCTGGGCCCAAGACAAACAGGTCCCCATCACATGAGTGTTCATCATCTGATGGAGGATGATCGGGAGAAGGGGAGGATAGGGAAACTGCACCTCCCTGAAGGGCAGCTCCGGCCACAGGTTTCAACAGGTTGTGATGAACCTGCCGAACCTTAGTCTGGTCTCTAGTTGGTGCGATGGTGTACACAGAACCTCCCTGTTGGGGCGTCCGTATTACTCTGTACACCACAGGGCCCCACAGATCCTGAATTTTGTGGCGTCCCCTCGCACTATGGTCACGCAACCACACCAGTTGTCCCACCTTTAGTGGGTCTTCTTTGACATGACGATCATGGTTTTTCCCTAGGCGCTCAGCCGCAAGCTTTATCCTTTCCCGTGCCCCTTCAAAGGCAAGCTGGAGCCGGGTTTGATGTTCTTGGATCCACTCATGGACCTCACCGCTCACAGGTTCTGGAACTCTGCCCAAAAGGAAATCAACTGGCAACCTGGGTTCTTGCCCGAACATCAGGTAGAATGGAGACTCGCCAGTTGACTGATGGGGGGTTGTGTTATACGAGTAGAGAACCTGTGGCAGACAGGAGTGCCAATCTCGTTTCCGTGACACAGGTAAGGCACGCAACAAGTTGTGAAGAGTGCGGTTGAAGCGTTCGCACTGACCGTTACCGGCCGGATGGTAAGGAGTGGTGCGGGACTTCACGATACCATAAAGGACACAGAGCTGTTGAATGAGGGAACTCTCAAAGTTGCGGCCCTGATCAGAGTGGACACGAGCAGGAACCCCAAACTTATAGAACCATTCCGAAACCAAAACCTGAGCCACTGTAGAGGCCCGTTGGTTCTGGGTAGGAACAGCCAAGGTGTATTTACTGAAAACATCAGTCATGACTAAGACATTTTCCATCCCATTCTGGCTAGGTTCCAACAAATTGAAGTCGATGGCCAAGATTTCATTTGGACAAGAAGCCGCCAAATGCCCCATGAAGCTAGGAGCCGGTCTGTGCGTGTCTTTGGCAACTTGACACCGCTCACATTCTCTGCACCACTGTGCCACCCCTGCAGACATACCAGGCCAATAGCACCTCTGACGCAAGAGCTCCAATGTCCTCTCCACACCTTGATGTCCATGCCCTTGATGCACCTGAGCCAGCACCTCTTGTTTCAGCGCAGCAGGCAAGAGGAGCTGCAAAACTGCTTCAGCGCCATCAGGGCGGAAGATACGCTGGAAAAGAACTCCATCCTGCTCTACCAGTTGACTCCACTGGCTTAGGAGGGTAAGTGCCGGCTGGGACAGGCGCTTCCGCTCCTGATGGTTTGGACGCAGCTGCTGCCCCCAGAACTCCACAACCTCCTGGATGACCGGATCAGCTTGTTGGAGGGCGCAGAGGTCCGAAGGTGCATGGTGTGGTAGACCAGCAATGGTAGCTTGGGTGGCTAGAGTGTTTTTGGGCTGCAAAGCTACCCGCAGAGGCTCAGGAAGCGAGGTACCAGGGGCCATGATGGCTAGGTCCGGTGGTTCAGGTTGATGCTTCCTAGACAGGGCATCAGCATTTTTGTTGCTCCTCCCAGAACAATATTTGATCTCAAAATCAAAAGCAGCCAACTGAGCGGCCCAACGCTGCTCAGTGGCTCCAAGTTTAGCAGAAGACAAATGGCTGAGTGGGTTGTTGTCGGTGTTTACGATGCATTTATGACCAAGCAGGTAGTCACGGAATTTTTCAGACATAGCCCACTTAAGAACCAGAAACTCCAACTTCATGGAGCTGTAATTCGACATGTTACGCTCCGTGGGCCTCAACCCCCTGCTGGCATAGGCTATGGGCCTGACCTTCCCACTCTGTTCCTGGGAGAGCACAGCTCCAAGACCACCGTAGCTTGCATCTACCTCCAAGATGAAAGGAGAGGAGAAATCGGAATAGGCAAGCACCGGTGCCGTGGTAAGCTTGGTCTTCAATGCTTCAAGATTGCGCTGGCACTCCTCTGACCAATGCTCTGCGACTGCTCGCTCCACCCCCTTAGACTTCCTACCAGCTAATTCGGCCACCAGCTTATGTAGAGGGGCCGCTAATTTAGCGAACCCCTCCACAAAGCGCCGATAATAACTGGCAAACCCAAGAAAGGAGCGTAGGTCGGAAATGGTGGCAGGAGGCTGCCAGTTGGCAACCACCTCGACCTTGCTGGGATCTGTGGATACCCCCTGTTCAGAGACAACATGGCCCAAGTACCGAACCTCCCGCTGGAAGAATGTGCATTTGTTGAGCTTGGCCTTGAGGCCTTGCTCTTGTAACCGTCCCAGTACCACCTCCAGCCTCTCCAGATGCTGCTCCACTGTGGAGGAGAAGACCACGATGTCATCGAGGTAAAGGAGCAGTGACTGACATTGTTGATCACCAAACAGTCGCTGCATTAACCTCTGAAAAGTGCTGGGAGCATTACAGAGCCCAAAGGACACCATGGACCCGGTGTCTACCAAGCAAGGGACCTGAGCTCCACCCATGTCCACATCCACATGGGGACAAGATGACATGAGCTCGACAACTTCCTCTGAGCCAGTGGCTACCCCCTCCGAACTGTGGCTCTGCAGTTCGGCGGGCGCTAGTTTTCCGACTGGGACTGGTGGAACTGCCTGTTAGAGGGTTGATGAGCAGGCAAAGAAGACTGTGCACTAGCGGGGACCCGAACTCCATCACACTCACTTGCAAAGTGGCCCGGCTGTTGGCAGCGCCGGCAAATCAAAGGGCCGCGACGAGATGCTGGGCGGCGCAGAGGAGGGTTCTGTAAGGCAGAAATACTTTGTGCTAGTTGGTTCAGCTGATCTTGCTGCCGTCTCAGCAACTCTCTCATCTTTGCCAAATCCCGCCCCTTAGATGGGGTGGTTGCTCCCAGGGAGCCACTCTGTACCCCGCACTGGAGACCGAAAGCTGAAGGGACAGAATGACTTCGGCCCCTGCTGCCCCCTGGCAAGCCCTCTCGTTCCCACCGGATCGCCTCTCCCCGGACATCAAGCAAAGTAGCATTAGACTGCCTCCTCACCAACTGTTTCAGTTCACGACGCAAAGCCCCATCTAAAACATGCTCAACAAATTGGTCGCGCAGCAACACGTCGGCATTTACCATCCCTTCTGGTGCACGTTCCTTCACAGACGCCATCAAGCTCATTAATGCAAGGGAGAACTCGTGCAATGTCTCCCCCTCTTGTTGCCGTCGGGAAAAGAACGCCTCCTGTAACGCAACATACGATTTTGAGCACCCATACAGTTCCTGTAGCACAGAAATGATTTTACCTGGGTCCTCCCTCTCCACACTGGACCAATATTTTATCTCTTCTCGAGCCTCACCCTCTAGATGATCAAACAAAAAAAATGCCTGATCGGTTGCAGATAAATGACGTGCCCTCATGCAGGCTTGTACCTCCTCAAGCCACTCAGTCAGTCCTATACCTGATTTTCCCTTGAACATAGGACACTTTCTATCCCTTGGCACAAAAACCAGTCTTTCCACTAAAGGGTTACTAGCGGTAACAGGGGCTGTAGGTGGCACAGAGGAAGTGGAGGGTGCAGTACTAGGACCAGGCACGGCCGCAGCCTGCTCCTGCCGCAACCTCTCATTGTCTGCTTTTAACTGTGCCACCAGCTCCCTTAAATCCTGCAGCTCTCCCTCCATAACTAACCCTAAAATCGGGCTAGGGCAGTAGGCGGAACAGTGGATAACTACCAGGAGAAAGAGGATGAGAACAAAAAAAAAGAAGACTAGATTCTCACCGGGACTCACCAGACCCAAAGAGGCCGAGCTGCTGTTCTGCTTCTGAAACAAGTTATTTACAACACAGTTTAAAATCAAATGTATACCCTGAGGTATATATATAAATAGATGGAAAAAAAAAAAAAAAAGATAATGACACTGGCCACACGTCTCTGCCTTCCACAAGCAGTGGATCCTGCCGGCAACGCCAAAAATGTGACAGCCGGGGGCGGGGTTAACAGAAAATGGTATCTAGAAGAAGATGTAGTGAAATACTGTAACCCCTATTTACCAATCAACTACTGGTTACTGATTACAAATTGATTTTTGTTGCTGACAACACCACCCCAGGAATTTCACCTGGAGAGTATAAATTACCCCTGAGTATAAAACTAGGGCACACACAGGTTCGTCTGCTAGTGAAGACGGGAGGCCGTGGTCCAGTGTACAAATATGTTAAAATTTTATTTGACAATTTTCACCAAAAACAAAGTTAATAAAATATTTTTTCGCTCATTCATCCGCACTCATTCACACACAAACACACACACACTTCTATAGCAACAATATTGCCTATAAAATTGTTGTGCAAATAGCAAATCCTGGTTGAATCAACAATAACCACAAATACCAAAATAAAGAAAACTAGCAAGCAAAAAAAGAAGAAAGATAACTCAAAATATTTAGAAATAACCAAACCAAACAAACATGCAAATAAACCAAATACTAATAACTAACAAAACAAAGTACTCAAACTGGAGAAACAAAACACAAAACACTCAAATCACAAAATAATATCAAATGATTTAAACCATAATAGACTAAATGCCAACAAAATGAGGAAGCTGAGGCAACAGGTTACCAAAATAAAACTTCATCCCAAGGGTGTTGATGTCACCTCACATGAAGCAGAACGCCATCGGATGAAAGTTAGATAGCGATAGTGACGGCCTTACAACGGCGATGAGACAGGAGTACAGTAAAGCAGGCAGAAGCTGTAGCAGAAACAACCACAGCAGCAGCACAGGAGCAAACCAGCAGCCCAGAAGCCGACAGCAGCACCGAAGCAGACCAGCAGCCCAGAAGCAGAACAGCAGCACAGCCGATAGCAGCCCGAGAGGAGGGAGGAGAGTTTAGGGCAGCCCGACCGGCTCACACACACAAAACCTAATGTGAGAAAAATATAATTTAGCACCACGGCTTGATAAGGATCGCATGAGTTGCAGTCATTTAAAACACATACCGTCAGAAAGTTGAATGAACCTCACTAGGGCAAGGGAACAAGGCACCCGAAGCGCCACAGAACTATCAATGGCCAATCAGCTGATCAACCCCAGCTGTGTGGGGATACAGGAAGACACACTTTGGGTCCCGCAATCGGTTCGATGCAGGAGAGAGAAGACCCAGTGAGGAACTGTTGGAGACAAATACCAACCCTGACGGCAACCGCAAAACTTTTAAAGCGCTGTAAAGCGATGTATGGAAAGTATGTGATTGGCATACCAGGAGCAGCGAACTGAGCACACAGACAATCTGGCAGCGAGGCGATCAGGTACGGTGACCAGGTGCTGTGATTAGGGAGGCAGCAGAGCTGACAAGAGCTCGGAGCAGAGGGAGAGGGCTCCCAGGGAGCAAGCACCCACATTTATAGACTATGCCCCCTGAAGGCATAGGCCGAGACTGCAACCTAATCAATGTACAGCTGGGCTGTCAGCCCATACTGCCACAATAGGGTACTGGCGCTGGTGGTGGCCCTCCTCCCGTCTTCTTTTCGTCCCGTCTTTTGTTGAGCACACCTCCTTTCAAGGCTCGAAACCTCTCCTTCACTTCATGGACAGTGCGCACTGCCACGCCGCAAGAGTTAACCTTTTTGGCGATTCTCGCCCAAGCTTCTTTTTGCACCTCCCTCGTGATGGTCGCGTTGTGGCTGCTGAATAACGTTACATGCTCAAGTTGTATTTCTTCAAGAAGTACTCGGACTTCTTCGTCGCTGAAATTTGACTTCCGTACACGTCTATCCGGCTTATCCATGGTTGAAAACGGCCGTTCTCAACCGAAAGTACACAACACTTAAAACAGACCGGTTGACCCAATTCTATAAATATCTTTACCGTTTAAGACACAGTAAACGCGGTTAGCTATACGGTTCCGTTTACAGTATTGTGCATACCAAAATCGTATAGGAACTAAACGCGTTTAAGGCCCGTATAACTAAACGCGTTTAAGCCCTAATCGCGTTTACGCTAAACGCTTTCAACGTGCATATGGGCCCTGATCATTAACTGATGTTCCCACAGGTAAGAAAGAGACATGAGACTGATGTAGAAAGAAAAACACGAGTGACCGTGACAAATGGTGCAAGTTAAGGAGTTCTGAGGAACTCTCGTACCGTGCGGCACCAGCTCTCGGGTAGTTGACTAGTGTGCCTGAAGCTAGCTAGTGGCTAGTTGTTTCGTTCATGCGTTGTCAGTTAACCGGCGGTTCGGCTTGCGTGTTATCGAGCACCCGTTCAGGTTCGGCTCGTGTGCAGGGGTGCCATGTTTGCTTGTGTTTCTCACCTGTCGGCTCATTAACATGCAGAACCGGAGTGTGACGTTGGGCTTCCGGTTGACCCGCGACAGTTGATGATAACAATGTAAACATGATTGATTAGAAGAACAGTAAGAATAATTACTATTTGTGTTAAAAATGGAGTTCATGGAATATAAATAATTTGATAAAAAAAGAAGAAAGAAAGGTGTTCAGTGCACAATATTTTAAGATACTGTGAATATTTTTAACTGTACAATCGAGTGAGAAGCCAGACGGAGAGATTGTAAGCACGGACATAAGAACTGATTGTTAACTGATGTTCCCACAGAAATTAAAGAAAAACTAATGTGCTGCACCAAGAGGAGCCTCCTTCTTCATCCTTTACGTGCAACACCTGCACAATCAAAACAAATGTCAGCACAGAGTACGATTTCGGGGTTTCATTTGATCTTTCCAAACCACGTCTTTTGTAATTTTTTTTTTGTCAGTAAGACAAAAGTGGACACGTACAGAACTTATATTTGTATGGTGTTTCCTACTCCTCCATTTTTGCCGGCGCACGACCTGCAAATCCCGTCAGCATCAGTGCAGACTCGCTATTGAAGGGCTGAAGAGTCCACTCGCCCTCCTCACTCTGTGGTTTGGGATGGCCTTCAATATGGCGGTGCCTCCGCAGGGACACGCAAACGGAGGGAGAGTGTATAGGGTGAGTGTGTAGGGGGCAGTTTGGGATTGGGCTGATGTGATTGGGAGCTGGTTACCCTTCACCTGGCCTGTTAGAATGGAGTCATCTTTAAAAGCCTCTTCCTTTGTGTGCTCTGGTCCTTCTCTGACAGCTGACTTTGACTCTGCCTTGCAATATTTGAATTATACTAAGTAAAGACATTTGCATTTGTGGTGGGAGGTGGGTAAGACTGAGGTAGGTTGGGGTACCCTTTACATTGAACAACACGTAGTCACACTTTTGTATAGCACACTAGGTTATGGGTTGGTACCATCTGTGTATGTTTTGAGAGACTTTTCTTAGCCAGTCAGTTTGGCCTTTTTGTTGCTGTTTCTTTGTCTCAGACAGTGTTAAGTGAGTCCCTGTTCTGTTGTCTTTAGTTCATTTATTTGGCACTCTTCCCCACACAGTCTGCTTCTCCTCCCACCTTTGATTCCCTTTTGTTCATGACCTGATTTTTGTTAAATAAATAATTCACACACTGGAATTACTCCTTGATTGTTTGTGTTACTTTCTTGTGCTCAGCTAGAGGAGGGTAACAAATCCGAATTAAATATGAAATAAAGAACTAAAAGAGTTTTTGGTCGTTATGAACAAATAACAGAGTATCATCAGCATACAGAGTTATCAGGAGGATTTAAGGAGTTCACTTGGACCATTCTTGATGAGGACTGCTGTGTGTTAGTGTGTGTATGAATCCTCACTGAAGTGTATCAGGGTCTGAAGGAAGTTCATCTACAGCTGTGTGTTCAGTCTGACTGAGGGAGGTTTTTGTATGACGCTTTTTCACTGTGTGCAGACCCACTGACTGTTGGGGTAGTGCCAACTCTGACAGTAGTAAACTGCTGCATCTTCAGTCTGGACTCCACTGATGGTCAGAGTGAAACTAGATCCAGATCCACTGCCTGAAAAACGACTTGATATCCCTGATTGTCGAGTGCTAGCAAGATAAATGAGCAGTTTATGAGTTTCTCCATCCTTCTGTTGGTACCAGTGCAGATAGTTATTGCCATTCACATTCTGACTGACACTACAGCTGATTTGTGCGTTTCCTCCCGGAGCAGAGGTCACAGCTGCAGGCTGAGTCACTGTGTACTGTCCTCTGGACTCTGAGGATACAGAGACAAACACAGAAAGCAGCGTCATGGTTTTGTGGGCTTCATTTCAGAGGGACGGATGTTCATAGAGTAGAGGAGTTGGATTCTCTGGACTTTACCTGTGAAGCAGCAGCAGAGGAGAGTCCAGATGAGGACGCAGATCACAGTCATGTTTCTGATCAGGAGGAGGAGGAGGATTTCTGTGTCTTCTGTTGTGATGACGGACAGCTGTCAGTAGGGTTGGGAATCGAGAATCGAGAATCGATGGGAATCGGGACTAAAACTTCGATTCTTCCGGTATCGTTCAAATATTAAAATTTCGATTCCAAGTTTCGATGCCAGAGTCCGCCGACCGGAAGAAATAGCCGCCGAAAATCAACGAAGAAGAAGCCGCTTAACACCAATGAGGACGGAGCGTATGAGACGAAGCCACACACAGAGAGGAGAGAGACAGAGAGAGAAAGTACATTGCAACCCACAGCAATGCAGCCGCTGTGGGTTACAATCTCTCTCTGTCTCTCTCCTCTCTCTGTGTGGCTTCGTCTCATACGCTCCGTCCTCCTTGGTGTTCGGCAGCTTCTTCGTTGGTCAAAAGTTTGGCTAACTTCAGCAGGAAGAATGAACTCTTATCTCAATGCAACATTAGCAATACAGTTATATCATGCAAAGGAGGGTAAATGACCGACATGATTAAACACCTCAGGATTCATGGAGGAGAAATAGCCGAGTGCTCGTCTTTGACGCGCTTCGCCGGTGTTGTGTCGTAGAATGCACCCCTGACGGGAGCGCGGTTGAAAGTACACAACAAGGCGAAACAATCCAAGTTTTTCTTACCGTTGAACGGAATCTAAAGTGTGTGCCTTTAATGATTTCATTCAGGCTATTCAGATATGCCGAAAACAATAGCCCTCTGATTCGGAATATTTACTGTCCTGAAAATATTATGTTCTCTACATTAACAGCTTACTCTACAGTTTATATACCCAAGTACACCTTTATGTGTGCATTTTTGAGACACATACAAACAAAACGAAAGTTTACTGCTCCATTTGACACGTTTTCATGATCTAATACCCGTGTTTTATTAAATATGAGATCATATTTCTTCCACTAAGAAGCTAATCAGTGGAGGGGAGGCATTCTACGGCAGGGGTGCATTCTACAGCACAACACCTGTCTTCCAGTAACCAGTCAGGATCAGATAAGTGAAACAATAAATTACTTCTGTCCTCTGCTAACTTTGAAACGGTAAAGAAATTGAACTGTGTACGGTGAGTAAACTTAAATATCCACCTAACGTTAGCCCTTGTACTTTTTCATAGACAAACGACCTGAAAACAAAAATTGATATTTATATACTGGTTGAAAAGAGCTGTGAGAAATTCATAGTAAAGTTCTTAAAAAGTTAATAGGATTTAAAAATTCATGGAGAAGTTCAGAAATGTCATCCAAAAAGAAGAGCCCCGATTAGCACCCTCATTCAAACCATGCTTTTTTTTTCTTTTTTCTTTTTTCTTTTTGATATCCTGCCTTTTAAAAGAATCGAATTAGAGAATCGATAGGAATCAGAATCGAAATGAGGAATCGAAATTGGAATCAGAATCGTTCAAAATCAAACGATACCCAATCCTAGCTGTCAGTCATCCAGTCTTCAACTCTCAGGACTATAAAGTCTCCCAGAGCACTGGAGCATGCTGCTGCTCATGCAAACTCACTCTCTATGGAAATGACTCCTATCATCAGATCAATAAACTTCTTATGCCATTAAGCTCATTGATTAAAAAGAGTTTCATTGCCACAACACCTGCTTACTTACAATGGGACCTCAGTTTACAACATCAGTTCATATGTCTCAGTTGAAAACATTCATTCTGTGGGTTAATTGGACTGAATTATTTTCCAAGTTAACTGGCCAAACTTTAGAATAAATCCAGGAACTTTTTTGAATTTGATAATAACTTTTTTAAAGGTTTTCAGCCTGAAGTAATTCTTTAAAAAAGCTCCAAACTTTTTCACAACAATATGTTGGCTAATTGTTTCTCTTTTAAAATTATATTTTTAAAAAGTGTATAAAATTAAAAACCTTAAATCTTTATTATTTTTTCATGGTTTATCAGAGATACTAAGGACTTCTGTTATAGCACTGAAACATGTCTGTAGTCATGGTTAAGCAGCGATGCCTGTCTGTTGCCATGGTTACTGGAGTAAGAGGGAAGTGAAAGAGCTGAGATCAGTTTCATCTTCTCAACTGTAGTCAGCTGTAGTGACCTCTTGTGCTGAAGTTTATTGAAGCTCTTTTTTCATCTCTCTCTCTGTAGTGGATCAGGTGACCCTCAGACTGTTGGAGATGGTCCACTCCAGAAATTAAGGCCTTCATAGACAGGAGCTCTCTCTCTCCTCTAAAAACACCTTTGGACTAAACTTGTGTCCTCTTTCAGCTCTCCTTCTTTCCTGAACATACCATGACACAACACCTGCAGCAGAGTTGATGAGTGCATTTGTCCATTCATAGGAGTCATTTCCATAGAGAGTGAGTTTGCATGAGCAGCAGCATGCTCCAGTGCTCTGGGAGACTTTATAGTCCTGAGAGTTGAAGACTGGATGACTGACAGCTGTCCTTCATCACAACTGAAGACACAGAAATCCTCCTCCTCCTCCTCCTGATCAGAAACATGACT